GCAACTTAAACAAACCTTCACTTACGCTTCCTCTACCCCGTGGAAGATTGCTGCTGCGCAAAATAATTCCAAACTACAGTATATTAGATTTGTAATCGGTGTTTGCGAATGATGATGGCGGCAGAGTAATTGCAGGCACAACAGTTGGGAGAAAAACAGTGTCCATAAAAACAACAAATGTCCACAAAGTGGGACATTTTTTCGAACCTAGTTGTGTAGTGATGGTCTTAGCCTCCAACCAGCATTTCAAATCGTAACAAAGAGACTTCTATTTGAAATTCTCAGTGAGTGTTGCACCACATCGTGACTCTCCGTAAACTATAGGTGGCGCTGTGGTTAGCTCGCTCCACTCACAACAGGAAGTTTGTGAGTTCAAATCCCTCGTTTGGTGTCAACTCTGCCTATCAGCATCATCATCACCTTTGATGTCGGGAAAATAAGTACAACTTTGTGAGAACATTTTTTTTATTTAAAGCTTTCGTGACTGCAGGGATTCATATTCTTGGTTCTTTCGGTAAAGTCACGTAGAAGGGAAACAAAAGAATAATAAAAATATAAAACAACAAAATTCTCACGACGTTTCGACTGCAACACAAGCAATCATAATCAGATGTGTAAACCATAGCAAGAAAAATTTGTGAGAACAGTTGAGATGAACAGTGTTTCATTATGGTGAGATTGGATCATTTCATAGGAATGTGGAATGTCCATCACTGGATTAGCACCGCCATTGAATCGGAGCGTTAATTGTAGCAGGGAGATACTTTGATGTTTTAATTTTGGGTTTTTGTATATTGCAACACTTTGTTTTCTAGGCATGTAGTGATATACCCCCTACGATTAAACGTTACGATTCGCAGTCATTCAATTTGCGAATCTATTCATTCATTGTTTTCCCCTTGTGGTAAATGTAGAAATAATATGCATTATTTAAAATCTCTCATCGCAATCTCCAGTGGCTGTATCGTCTGTCTCGTTTGTGTTGTCCGCCTCATTTATCCTGCCTCGCTTGTTTCGTCTTGCCTTGGAACGAAGAGTCGATTCTTATACGCGCAGTCCAGTGCGCAGCAACACAGCGCGATAATTTATTTTCAACGAATTGTTAAATGCCTATACGGTTTTTTTTTGTGTTTGTTTACACAAACGGGGTCGTCGCTGTCTCAAAATTGTTAAACTCTGACCGAGGTCCTCCGTTGGCCTCTCACGGCCGTGGGGAGGTCAAGCGCCTCGCTGTGTGCTTTTTTTTTTTAAACGGCTTCTTAAACCCTCAGCGGTCAGTGCCGGTGGGACCTTTGGCGGCATTGGGTGAGACAGGGCCGGGTGATTGTGAATGAGCGGTGGGATGGGGTGGGGGGTAGAGGCTGTACGGGAAGGAAAGGACAGGGCGAGGCTGTGAACGGCAGCAGCAGTGGGCGTGGGCCGCCGGCTGGTGGGAGGGTGAGGTGGTGGTGGTGGTGCTTAGATTATGTATGAGTGGGAAGAGGATGCTTTTTACATTCAGGGATTTTTCTTTTTGCGTTTTTGCACGATCATCTCGGTGTTGTTTTTAACGTTCGGGTCGTATTGCGCGGAGGGTGAACGACGAAAGAAAAAAAAACACCCCGACGTGACGAGAATGAGCGATTGCTTCACCAAAGGGCAGTGCCCAATGTCAGCTAAAATACACAAACACACGCAAGTACAAGTCAACGTTAATGCGGCCTTTGCACAGAAGCATACGGTATAGCAGGTTAACGTTTTATGTAATGGCTCTGAAGAGTGACTATTACCCAAAGTCAAAGGTGGTATTCACCTCCTGTTTACAGCCCTTCGCCAGTGGTGGAAATTCTACATTACTTGTGTTCGGGGGGCAGGTCCATCCGTAGGACAACCACTCTTTACTTCACCACAAATTGGTATTCCTTTAATCAATTCTGGTGGGACGGGGCTGATTCAACCCCCAACTGCTCTGCTGCTTTGAGCCACCTGGCCAAAGCAGTCTGCTATTTATTTTGTTCTGTGAGAAGGCAGCATGAGAGCTGAAGGTTTAATGTGCTTCGACACGCATGGCAAAGCACACCCTTAATTTTGTATCTTACTCGATCGGAAAATGCTTTAAAGCTGTACATCTGTTCATTCTCCAACTCATGACGCTAAAAACCTTAACCACACCAAGTCATGTTTTTCTTTTCACTATATACCATTTTGTCACTGAACCTGAAGAGAGGGTGCTGCCTTGGGATGTTTTGGCTGACATTTTTTTTATGGGATTATTTTTCATGTGAGAGGAAACCTTAGTACCCGGAGAAAACAAATCCATACGGCAGGATAACATTCAAAGGTCCACACAGATGGGTCATGAACCCATTCTGTGTGCTATTTATTTTTCCGCATGGAGGCATCGCTGCCGAAGCTTAACGCCAGAGCCTTGCTCGGGGGGGGAAAAAAACAAAACGAAAATCCCCACAACTGCGAATGCCAGGCGGCTCATCATGGCCACGTTCTAGCACTGGACTCGCACTGCTGAGATTCTGGGTTCGAATCTGGGTTTCAGCCACCTATGATTAAATACGGTTCTCCATTATAGCGAGTTAATTGTCTCTGCTCAGTAAACAATAACTTAAAAAAACACCCATATTATTTCATATGCATCTTAATTTAATTTGGCACATTCCAGATATTAGAGCTGAAAGATTCATTTTTATTGACATGTTTATGAACTCACACTTTTGCCGGAAATAGAAAATATGATTCCTCGTGTGGATAAAGAGACTATTTTAAGTGACTTCATAATTAGATTGGTAATTAGATCGGATAGCCTCGAATCTTAAGCTCGGTAATCATCGAATCTCATGTGTAAGAATATATTTTGATTCGTAAATACGCTGTATGTAATGGGTTCACTTCACCCCTGCTGCCATCAAAACAAATCTTGAATCGCATTGTGATCCTGCATTGCGACGGTTCATCGAAGCGCTGGGTGGGTGAATTTCCACAACTATAGTAGTTTTACAATGTCATCTTCCGGGATCGTTTTTTGAAACACCGCTCACTGCTGGTGAATGAAAATTGCGTCATCTGATAAACGTATGCCAATAGAAGTGCATTTGTAATATAATTGACATTAACACATCAAACAAAATTAAACAGTAGATAGACTCGTCTTGCATCCGAGCCCTAGCAGTCACAGTTCTGTCGAGCAATCAGGCAGTGCCAGGAAACCGTGCAGACAGCACCGTCATTTGAGTGGAATGGCAGGATGATGATGATGATTATGATAATGCCGTTTTAGGAATATATTGTGCTTGTCAGAGTGCTACCCTGATCGTACCGAGTGGATTTTAGCACAGAGGAGGCCTCATTTTCTCAGCGTGTGGTGCTGGTCCTACCACAGGCATCTACATGAGCAGGGCCACCACTTTTAAGGTAAATGGGTGAGCAGGTGCTCATTTTGTAGCAAAATTGTTCAGCAGTGTGTTAGTGTGAGAGATTACGCGTGTATGCATCTGTGTGCGTCTATATCCGCATTCGTCTGTGTGCACATAGATGTTTTGAGTGTGTGTGAGTGTGCATACGCTGGTATGAGCGTTCTTGTGGACATGGGCGCGTGTCTTTTTGTACGCGCATGTGTGCGTGTTTGTGTGAAAGCCAGAGTGTATGCGTGGACGATGGGGAGCGGTAGTGTAGCGGTTCGCGCGCTGCGCTACGAACCTGGCGACCTGGGTTCGATTCATGTTTATGGCCAACACCAGTGACGATTTTGTGTCGACTCAGCCTCAAATGAGTACCTGGTGCGATGTGTAAACATCACCAATAGGGAGACAAAGACGGCCGGGCGTGGTGTTGGCCACGCACCCCCTTGTGTGCCGCGACCCACCCACCCCCTTGTGTGCCGCGCCGGCCTTCATAGGTGCTCGCTAACAGCACTTGCCCCAACAACCTGTTAAGGCTATACGGGGGATCTTTGTCTTTGTACTATCTGTATAAGAACGAGCGTATGCGTGAACGTACAATGTACGTGCGTGTTTATATTTTTAAGTATGTGTGTGCACAAGCATGGGTGTGTGTATGAGCAGCAGCAGCATCATAATCTATTCACTGTTGGATGAAGGCTGCCCCAAGCCTTCACATCTCTTGCGTTCTCGCAATACAACAATCCATCTCGTAGCACCTGCACAAGGGCAGATGCTTTCATCCTACAATGTCATGCACATCCTCTTGCGCGTGTTCCCTTGTTTGGCTGCCACTCGCATTAGTCTCGACGAGCGGCCATTATTCCTTCTAACGACGTCTCTCGCCCAAGCCACCCATTTGCTTTTCATAGCAGTCAGTATGATGCCTCCGACTTACTGTATTTCTAACTTGTGCATGTTCTGTAATCATTGAGTTTCATTTTCTTCTCTCTTGAGTGAACTTATAGCCAGATACCACTCTACTAAGCCCGGTCCAAGGTAATCCAGCACAGCCTGGATATATTTTCAAGCGTAACAAATCTAAGGCTGTCCGAGCTGCCCGAGTCCCATTTTTTTGGTACGTGCACAACTCCTGTTGCACGTGAACAACAAACAGCTGTCCGCAATGTCGAGCATTGCCGCTTACGGTGGCGGCCAAGAGGGTGGACTGAATTGGCTGTTTTGAACTCAATGATGTGGCATTCGAGTGGTTGAGAGATTTTTGGATCTCAACCCGCGATTGCGAACACAGCTAGAATAAGTGTAATTCCAATTGAAATGTTAAGTTGTCATGCTGCGTATTTTTTTTTCATTAAATGTATTTTGGTTTGTTTGATCTCCCGCTTCTATCTGGTCGGTGTCCGTGGCCTCACGTGGGGCCCTTCATTGTGTCGCGTTGACATGGGGTCGCGGCTGGCGGGGCCCCGGTCGGGGTGGAGCCGCCGTGGGAACGCACGCCCACGCCCCACGGTGCGGGAAACGAGACGTGCGGCGTGGGAAGGGGGAGGTGAGGTGGGGGTGGGTTGGTGGGGAAGGTTGGGGAGGGAGGAGGGCGAGGGATGGGATTCGGTCCGGGTTGGATCACGGGGGCGCGCGGAGGGGCAGGGCGCGACACAGTGCCGTGAAGCCTAACAATAGCGATGTCCATAACAGTGCCTCCTGACCTCTCAAGCCACGGACGGATGCTACTTTCACCACAGTGTTAAATAAATACTGTAGGTCCTTGAGTTTAATCGGCCAAAATCGTAACACGTTGTCCAGATTGCAGTGGGAGTTGGGAGTGAATTGTTACATGCTCGTTTGTTAATGTTATGATTACTCAAATGAACACACGAGGTTAATTTGACATTACAAATAAAATCACTCCGCTTTGACTGTAGACTCTGCATCCTGATCTGTATAAATTGGATGCTGCTGTCTTTGCATTCACCCAAGGTGCATCATATTGGTTTGTATTGGAATAATTGAAATAATTAAATCGGAATAAGCCGTAAAATATTACAATTTTAAATGTCACTTTTTTCATGCTAGCTAATGGCAATTTGCTTATATGCCAAAATGGATTGAGAATGCATGATGACTGGTACCTGGGGTTCTTAATCTGATTGCAGTCACACAACAGTTGTAATTCATTTCTCCCCATCGCTGGTGGGATCGCAGCCTCCTTACGGAACGCCGTAGTACTTTCATCGCAGGCTTACCGCGCGGGGCAAGGTGACATTTGCTGGTGAGATAATCTGTATAGGACTGGATACGCTGCAGCATTGCTTTTCGTGCTTGCAAGCAGTACACGGCGGCGTTTTTTTGGCACGCAGAAACGCATCTGTGGGAGGAAAAGATATTTAGTGAACACCGTGGTGAGGAGTGTCGTGGTGCAAACGAAATCGTTCTTGCAAACGGGAAAAGGTGGCGACAAGTTTGGCCTGTGCCTCATCCTAATAATTTTCCTGTAAACGAGAAACTAACCTTTGCCTCATTACCCAGCGTCTGCTGAGGTCACTCCCAGGAAAACGGCTGATGGCTGGTCAAAGGAGCCAGCCTTGCTCGTTAGCTTACTGGCTCGCTCGCTCGCTCAATCACTTGCTTACTGGTTAATTCGTTTGCCTGCTTGCTTTTTATAGCTTGTTTGTTTACACAATCGCTTACTCGCTTGCTTGCTGGCTAGCTTACGAGCACATCAGCTTGGTTGCTTACTGAATTGCTCGCTCGCTTAATCGCCTCCTTGCTCGTTTGCATTTTGACCATCTCGCTCATTTTCACTTGTTATGCGTTCATATGTGTTGTGCGTGATGGTTCACGTGACCCTTGCAGTCACTAGAGGTGATGCATTCACCACTGATAAAAAAAAAATATGGTGAATCAAGCAGCTTCCCCGGATTGTGAAAGTTCTTGGAAACACAAGGGTTACGTGCCTATTGACAACAGAACAATGATATGGGATTACCTTTTGTAATCCATTTACAGCAATGTCTTACATTTTACACACGACTCCCCATTACTACACACATCACCCTGTAGAGAAGAAATCACAGAATCTTTAATCGCATTTGAAACGCCACCTTTATTTTTTTCAACAAACCTCCGTAAAAAATAATTGTGCTGCTCACTACCATTACGGTATTAAGAAAAAAAACCCCTCTCTGTTTACATGAAAACAATAATGATGTTTAAAGACCCCCGCTTGCAGATTTTGTTGGCCTCTTATCTCGGCAGGCCTCTGACGAGGATGATTTGTCTCTTCTTTTAATAACCGTTACTAATGAATGAGTGCGCAGTGCCAATTTGCACCGGACTCTCGCGGCTCGGCAACCGCCCACAGAGACGGCGGCGGTGGTGGCGGTGGTGGCGGTGATGGAGGGGCGTGTGGGTGTTTGCTGTAAAAGGAACACTTTGATTGTTTTCGGAAGGCGCCCTGGCGAGCCATTTGCCAATCCTGCGCTAATGCTGCTGACACAGAGCAACGCGAGGGATTGTCTCGGGGAGGAAAACGTTGAAAACATCCACCCCGGGTTTTGCCCGCGACCCTCCTCCTAGCGCCGCCCGGCATTGTCCTTCACGCTGGCCTGTTTGCGTTGAGTTTTGACATACACTCTTGTGTGGCAGGTGACTGCGTGACCTCACTGCGTGTAGGTGCATGGGAAACACATTTTTGATCTCCTGCCCAGACACTAAATACGTCCCTGCGGAGAGCGATTGTGGGCCATGCGGTGAGACGAGAATAGCGGAGTGAGCGGAGGCATTTTAAGAATGAGGCGGTCCCGTGGCCTTGCTGCTGGGTGGAATCGACCTCTTGAGATTGCGCAGAACTGTGAACTCGCACTCGTCTCAATTGCATTGTTGGTGTATTGAATTAAATAAAATCAACCGTTGCAGATAGTTTTTTTGGTGTTTGTATTTAATTCTTGTTTCTCTTACGATGTGATTTTGGTGGTATGGTGGGGGGCGTAGGGGGGGGGTTGCCGGTAAAAATTTCTCCCCTTACTCCAAAATAAAAATGTTGCAGAAATAAATAAGAAAATATAGGCACCTCCTGCTTGGCACTTGGCACTGCTGTGAAGCAGGATGCGGTACCATTTTCCCCAGCCCGTTTCCTGGCCCAGCCTGGGTGGAGCGCTCGTCCGTAGCCCCCGGGGCTGCTGCCGCTGTTTGTTCTCCCCCCATCCCCCCCCCCCTCGCAGGAAACCCAGTGCTGCGCTTGCTCGCGTGCACACTTGCTCGCTTGCGTGCTCTCTCGGCCCGCTCAAGTCGGCTTCTCCCGTCCAGCGGGCCGCCCAATCTCGGTTATCCTGGTTGCAGCCGCGGCGTGCGACATGTAGCTCCGATCCTTCCCGTCGTTTGCGGCGAAATAACTCGGGCAGGGAGCGAGGGGTCACGCCAGCCTCCTCCCGGATCTGGCATCTACGCCGCCAGAAAATTTTTTGCACATTTTTCTTTTCGTTTAGATTTTTTTGTTCCGCGGAAGGGAGGTTTTGCGAAGCCGTGTGGATATGTACGATCTGAGTGGGTTTAGGAGTGGCATGCCTCAGAGGAAGGTAAGTTGTCGCAAAGGATTGTTAATTTTATGAGGGTCTTCGTGGTGAATTGATTTTTTTGTCGATATCGATCCATCAGCTCGTGATGCAGGCATCAACTCGCGTGTGTAAGGATTGATGTTTTTCCATTCATTTATTTTGTACGTAATGGGTTCACTTGACCCCTGCAGCCACAAGTAGCTGCTACATTCACAACAGTGTTCAGAACGAAATTGAGCCTTCCAACTGAATGTTGGTGTTGAATTGTGGCAATTCATGGAATAAAAAAATCCAAATTCTGATTCATGTATTGGTGATGATACGCAACTATCATCTGAAGCATTCATTTAATTGGACAATTTATTCTCCAAAAAATAAAAATATCTGTTTGACTGCCTAAAGCTTTCTCTGTAGTGGGGCATTTAGGAAAGTACATCTGCTAGAGGGTGGCTAAAGAAGGTCAGTTAAAGTGATTTCAGAAGGAATTCGGTAATATCTACTTAAATGGGCCATGCTACAACATGGGGCGATGGACTCCTATGCACTTCGTCACATTACATGGCACTGATAGCACATTCAGGGTACAACTGGGATGTAAACGCTCGGATTAGAACATGCTGTTCAGAATGCGCGACCCCCATTGCCATGCGGACACAAACATTGGATTATTTGTGTCGTAGCGAGATTCTTGGGATTTGTGTGTGCGTGTGTTTTTAGACGCATCTCCGGTACCATCCCCGGAGATCATTAATAAACGACTCTACAGGGGAGGCACATTTGCATGCAGCAACTGTCATTTGTGTTTATCGCGCTTAGGAAATGAGAGCAAACTCGACAGCTGTTGGTGTGGGAGAGTAGCGGTGTGGTGTTTAGTGCATTGCGCTACGAACCTGGTGGCCTGAGCTCGATTCCTGGCCATGGCTAGCTAACAGCAGTGGAGAGTGTTACCTGAACTGGGCCTCTCAATAGATTGACTCAACATTAAATTAGTGCTTGATGCTGTGCATAAACATCAGTGCTGGGAGATCAAGGCGGCTGGGCGTGGTGTTGGCTACGCCAAACCCTCGTACGCCATGTCGACCGTAATAGGTGCTCGCTAACGGCCCTTGCTCAGCAGCCTATTTGTGGCTATATGTGAGATTTTTGGGGGGTTTGTTTGGGTGCGTGGGATTGCGTCTTGTCTTCTTTTGGGGTCTCTGGAGGTGTTTTTGTTAATGACAATTGTTTCCTGCCAGTTTTGTTTGTGTTGTGTAATAGTACAATGTGGATATATTAATATAACTGTTATCAACACGACGAGCATTTAACGTTATTATTATCCTTGTTTACTCAGAAAACACTTACTGAGTCTCACGACTCTTTCAGCATGGTCCTGCAAAGTTATTGCAGAGTAGGGAGCGACGATAGCTTTGTTTTGAATTAAGTCAGAGGCACTTTTCAAACTTGGCATATTTGGAACATAACGCCGATACACAATGGCCAACTCGTCTTCGAAAGACGACACGGGGTCTTTAATGGCCACTGTGAAATGGATGGTGCGTATACAGCTGCAATACTCACCGGGGCGACCTGCTGGATTCGAACCGAGAACCTCTTCGAGGTGCGTTCAAACGCGCCACCGTTGGTCCGTGTCACCGTGCATCACCTTGAGTTTATGAACAGCCCCGAAGGGTGTCCTGATAATCTAAAATTCCCTTTAAAAACCTCTCATCTATATGCTAGGTGTTGTACCTGGATATCATCTGTAAAGAGAATTTGTCACAAGACAAACATAAGTGCTTTCATTCTCAGAGCTGGAACAAGATACATTTTAAAGAATATATTTCCACGTGATAAGCCACTTCGTTGAGCTGTAATTTGTGGCCAGGTCCCTTCTCAACAAGAGCTTTCGAGCTCAGTGGGCCTTACCTGCTAAAATAAAAAAAATTGTTGTAATTTAAACCAAGTAAAGGACAAAATTTGAAGGGATATGTTTTTTAAAATTCACAAATCATTAGTGACCAGGCCCGAGACCCATCATCTTGCTGCGCGCGAAAACCCCGGTTAATCCGGTTCCGAACCAAGGTTCTCAACGACACTGGCTCAGTGTCTCTGATGCGTCACGGGGGCTCAATGACCGCGAGAATCCGCAATTACAATCCAACGTGCCGTATGATTTCGCCTGTACACCGTGTGAGAGCGCATTAGGGTCTCTTGACAATTAAATATTGATGCGTTTAAAAATGCTCGTTTTGGATGAAAGCCATACTGGGCCCATTTAAACAGAGTATCTGCTGCTATATTCGATGATATCCGGCCGGGCAGCCACTGCGGTTAGAGAGCTCGACTCGCACAAGGCTCGTCCCATCATCACCGCTGCTGCGGTCAATAAAATTAGTACTGCACTGTGGTGAGCTCACCCTTGGTCGTCGTTTAAATAAATTGAATTCTTCCGTTACAAGTCAATGCATCTCTGCTCAAACGAGAGAGAGGGAGAGAGGCTGCGTTCATTTCTGTTGTTGATGTCCATCAGCCGGCTGTGAAAATTCCACATTACTTTGACAAGGCTAATATGTGCCATAGGATGGCAACTGTTGACCTAGAATGGTCCGCATCCTTGCCTACTGCGGGATGGATGATGGGCCGAGCTGACAAACTAAATTTAACGTGGTGTTTTCAGCACGGTCATCGGTTTGCGGGGTCTAACACCGTCGGCCCTCTCTGCGCTTGAGAACACTCGCGGCTGAGACTCTGAACCCAGCATCTCAAAGACATCACCAATACTGATGTCTTTGACATCAGTATTAGTGCCAGGAGTCGCACCATGACTACCTCACCCGGCCCCCTTCCTCAAGACTGGAGCCCGAGAGAGCGGCGCTGTGTGTCGTTACCTTTTGCTGATGCCGAAGCACTTTTCGACGTCTCAAAGACAGACTTTGCTGTGTGTGTGTGTAAACTTAGTAGAGAGCTGTAGTGTAGCGGGTTAGCGCGCTACGCTACGAACCCGGCAACCCGGGTTTGATTCCCGCTCACAGCCAACACCAGTGACGATTATCTGAACTGGTCCTGGGCCTCCCCTAGGTTGACTCAGCCACAAACGAGTACCTGGTGCTGTGTGTAAACATCACCACTGGGGAGACAAATTCGATAGGGCGTGGTGTCCACCCCCTCGTGTGCTGTGCTGGCCTTCATAGGTGCTCACTAACAGTACTTGCGCCAACATCCCGTTGAGGCTATACGGGGGATCTTTGTCTTTATTTTATAAACCTAGTGAGCAGTGCGGATGTTTTGAGAGTAATTCCTCGACGAACAACATTTCCGACCGTCACGGCTGACTTGAGTGACTGATAGGAGGGCTAGACACCTAAAAAATTGTAAAGAGAGTGTTGAGTCTTTGCTTCATCATCATTCAAGAATGATCTGTATCCACTGCTGGACGAAGGCCTCCCCAGGCTGTTGCCATCTCTCACGGTCGCCACGATGCAACAGCTCATCCAGCTCCTGCGCCACGGGCTGATCTCATCACTTCATCTCTGCAGTGGATGTCCTTTCTTGTACGATCCCTCCTGTGGCCGCTGCTCCGTCACTAGATCAAACCGTTGGCCGTCTTATTTGTCTCCTGAAGCATCCTGCCCAAGCCCACAAGTACATTATAAGAACATTACAGGAGTCCCTCGGTGAACAGGGTCTTCGGTTAACGCTTGTTCAGTTAACTTTTCGTCTCCCATAGGACCCCATGGTTTTGACTAAGGAACAAATTTTGATTAATGTAATGTTTGCGCTTTGTGCACGCGGGCGCCAATTTCGGCCAATCCGAGCACTCATAAATGGGGCTGAGCCATGCCTCACCCAATCAGCGATGCCTATTTATGAGCAATTAGACCTCGACTGGCCTTGTTTATATTACGTTTTATGTTTTGGCAGTGGAAACGGCTCTCTTGTAGACTCAGCGATTTTTACTTACTTTTCAACTTATAAGTGCATTCGATTCACAGTTATTTCCGTTAACAGTAGTTTTCGTGGAATAGATTAAAAACGTTAACCGAGGGACCACTGTATATACTTCGTGTGGCTGGCCTGTTGGTGCAGTCGGGCCATGAACCAGGGCAGAAGTGGGCTACCATCTTCGGTGGCAAAATGCGGGTGGCTCATAACGGTGATGCGTGAGACAATCTTCTCACGTGAAAAGGTCATCGCGTCATTCACTATTGCTGACCTTATAAAGAACGCGGCGCCGCAAAGGTGTCGTGACCCCCCCGGGCGCTTGCCGGCGAGCGAGATATCTGCTCTGGCCTCACGAAGCAAGTGGTTCGAATGCGCGCCTCGTCATCGCGAGGCTTGCGAGCCGAAAGTGCCGGTTAAGGATCAATCGCAGGCCTTCCTCGCCCCTCCGTGGTGTCCCACAAAGTGAGTGCTACAGTGGCAATCCGTTGGTGGTTGTTGACGTCGTCGCTTGCCCCCGCCGTGTTGTTTCCATCAATGGATCACAGCTGTTAATACGATTTTGAGGTGTTGCTCCATGAGTGTTTGAGAACGGCAGTTGTCACAGGTTTGCCCGTTACTTTGACCTTTGAGCTGCGACTGCTCAGATCTGGGGGTTCGAATGCAAAGTTGCCGCCTGTGATTGAAACCTGGTTCTTAAGTGGAGCAAGTGGAAGGTCTCGGCCCGGGTCACCAATGACTTCCCACACACACACACAAACCCATTACATTCAACTTGGTCCTGCGCTTTAGTTTGGCAAAATTCCATCTGTGTGGAATAAAAAATGTCGGTTTGGCCACCCCGCGGTGAACATTACCGCCGGTGGCAGAGTGGATTGTTGAAATCGAGCGCGTCGCTCACCCTCTCCCCACCCCCGCGTGTCTGTGCCATGACAGCCAGGGATTTTCTCCCCGTTCAAGCGCTCCGCCGCCAAGAAGGACAAAAAGTCCCAGGAGCGGCTGGCGGAGCGACGGCCGCTGCACACGGTCGCGCTCGCCCCGCCCACATACACTGTCAACCCCGAGCTGCTCCTCAACGACTACGTGGAGAAGGAGGCCAAGGTGGGTCCGCGTTGCCCGTCGTGCCGTCGTTCCTACCGCGTTGATCCCGTGCGTCCTGGTTCTGTACTCCTGTTAATGTACGTTGAACTCCTTTTGCACCGTGTGTAGCCAACCGCGCTAATTAGAAGTGTGTCGTTGAAAACAGAAACATATACATTTGTATTTATGTATATTGTACGTATGGATTTCCTTTTTCACAGAGAAGGAAGTTCCACAGGTTGACAACATTCCAGTCGTATTATTAAAAAGTTATTGGGATGACGCCATATTCTCTGGGTTATAATAAGCACCGGAAAGTAAGATGTACCCAGAACCTTGTCAATAGAGTTATTCAAATCTGGTCATAATGCAAACACCTACCGGATTATAAGACACACCCCCAACTTTTTATCTAAAATGCAAGGGAAAGGAATCCAGAGAATATGAAATGTATGGGCCTATGGCCCGATCATCCCAGAACGCGCGCCCCATCTCGTCAAACGTCGCAAGCTCGGCGGGGTCGAGCATCAGCAGCGCTTGGATGGGTGCGACCACCTTGCACGCCAGGTTGTCAAAGGCTGGCACGCTGTATTACTAGCTTGTGGGCAGGAGATGGCGGCTGCAGCAATATCCATTGTTGTGCTGCGCTTATACGCTCCCGTGTCTATTCTCCCCTCGTTCACCCCGACGATCCACATAGTGCGGGGCTAGGTTCAGTATCGGCGATGTCGGTCAGTCTGTGACTGTGGTTATCCGTGTCTTATCTGTGGGTCTGTCTGTCCTTTTTATAGCCTGTCTATTCTCCATGAAGGAGGGACTCTCACAACATGGTAGCAAAAGTGGCACTGGTAGATTTTTCAGCACTACGGTCCGCGCACCGGAGGGCACCGAGAGAGAGAGAGAGAGACGTGATAATTGGGATAATTGAGAGTGGCCAGCAGGCATGGGTTCCTGCCAAGGTGGGGGAGGTTCCACTTCCCGTGTGAAGCTGAGCTCCAAATCCCTGGGTAATTAACGCCGCCGCACGCCGGCGCCAGTTTCTGCCTCTTGATCACGTGGTCTAAACTCGTCGCCTTGGCTGTTCGCCCCATTGCTGGTTAGGAAGATAGTGTGACGCGTAGGGAACTGTGCTAATTGGAGGTGTACGGGGCAAGGACAACAAACTATGTATATATGATCATTCGCCTGCACGTGAAGTGAGGCCAAATGCTGCAGTGGTAAGTGGCAAATCTGGCACTGATCATGTGTTTTTTTTAGCTTACGATTGACTGGTCCCTCCTCTGTCCCTCAGTTCCTGGGCTCGCTATCGGGGGTGTCCGGGTGCCTGGACCCCTCCAGCCGCACAGAGATCCTCAAGCTTCTGGACGCGGCACGGGTACACCATAGCGCACCGCACAAAATATGACATACGGCACAACACAGCAACTTGCCACACCACACTGCACAGTACCGCACCGTGCTATACCGCGCAGCGCAGTGCCACTTCATGCCACAACACTCCAAAGCGCGCTATAACGGCAGCAGAAAACATGGCTACGCAGCGTCACGTTTCTTTGCGCGCCACGCCGCGGCGAAGACGCGACGACGAGCAACAGCGCGGCGAAGCGACGACGTGCAACGCGCGGTGACGTGGCGATGTGCAACGCGCAGTGACGTGGCGTGTGTGGTGCAGCGCGTGCACAGCCTCCCGCACCAGCCGGGCCCCGAGCACGACGCGGTGCTCAGCCTCTCGGCGTACAACCTGCGGCTGAGCGGGCGCGACTCGGAAGAGCTGCTCGCGCGCATCCACATCCACGACATCGCCGCCCTCTCCTACGTGTGCGACGACGCGCAGCACCTCATCGTCATCAAGACAGGTGGGGGGCGTGCGGTGGCGGGGGGGGAGGGGGCATGCGGTGAGGGGAGGGAAGGAGCGCAAGGGGGGTGGGGGTGGGGGCGCACGGGAGGGCTGGGAGTCTGCCTATGGGCGACGACGGTGTTCATGAAATCGCATGCAAACGGTGTCGCGACCCAAAACGATGTGAGCCAATGCGATACATTTCGGATTTGTACGTGTACGCGTATTGCCCCTTTTTTCAGCTCACTGCTGAATGAGAGCCCGTCCACATGCCATGTGTGTCGTGGGGGTTGTTTGGCCCTACTTTATAACGCAGGATTGGTGTGGGTTGGTGAAGGAGGAGAGCGTACAAGTATGGTAAAAACAATTGATTTGCTTGCACTGCTCTCTGCTGTCCACCACATAGCCCTACAACCTTCATTCTTAGGGGTCCCCTCCTGCCAAAGACCCCCCCCCCACCCGGCCACGGCTGACATCAGTGGCAAGCAATATCTTATCTGTTCCTGAGCCTCCCCCTAGGTCACCTCAACCTCAAATGAGTACTTGATGCGGTGTATAAAAATCAACACTGGGGAGACACAATTGCCCGTGTGTGTGGCGTTAACTAAACCACCTCCTCGTGTGCCATGCCGACTTTAATAGGTGCTAATAGCACTTGCCCCAACTTTTTGTGTAGGCTACACGGGGATCTTTATCATTACCTGCGTGTGTATGAGCGTGTGCCTGTATGTATCGGTGCTCGCTAATGGGATTTGCCCCAAAAGTCTATGAAGGCTATATAGGGGGGATCTTTGCATTTGTCTTAGGTATGTGAACTGTCACGCACACCACAAGTGGTACATCTCAGCTATTAGATATTTTTCAGAAGCGACCTGGGCCACAAATGATAGGTCAACGAAGTGGCTTATCATGTGGAAATTTATATCAGCGAAATAATCTAAATGCATGTTTCTAAATGTGGAGCTAGAGACACCGTAAACTCCAAATATACAGGCGTCGGAGCCGGGATCGAACCCCACGACCTTCCGCACACCAGGCGAGGGAGATAACATTTCGCCACCGCAAGGCTTTTTTTAAGTGGGAACCTTTAACTCTGTCTTCGTTTGAACGTAGGCCACGGCGCTGGCGAGGCCATGGACCAGATGTCGCTGAGGACGCAGCGCTCGCGCTCCTCCTCCCAGCTCGACGCCACCGGCTGCCCCCCCTCCGAGCACAATTGCAACCTGGTGGTGATGGCCGTCGACAGCAAGGTGACGGCATTGAAATGCAGTAAAATCGGGCACGCTACGAAATCAACGATCAGAGATATGCCCATATGCGGAAGAAAGTAGGCGTGGTGTTTCCCGAAGGGGCGTGTCTTTGCCCATATGTGGTTTTGTGTATCGTGCCTCGAGATTAATTGCATCGATTATGCTCAGTCGATCCAGCAGCCAGCTCTAAAGGTGATTGTAATTTGCGGGTTTAATCTTCCGTGTCGATTCGTTGCCAATAGATCTATGGATCGAGTAATCCCATTGGTCAGCATAGCGTCGTGTGACATGCCTCCTTTTTTTTTATTGGCTAATATCTGCATGATCGATGATTCCATCGCAGTCTGTTTTTATTGTATGGCAGCGCCACGTCGCGCATCGCCCCCGGCCTCTCCGGCCCCAGCGGGCGCACAGCGTGTTGGCCGTTCAGCCACGTGTCGCTCCGTCGGTTAACGTCCATTCTCACGCCCCATCGATACCTGTTTAGAATTGCGACGTGCCGGCGTCGCAGTGAACCTCACGGAGCGACCTAAACTGCGCAAATGATGCTGGGGGGAAAAAAAACACAAACGTGTGACCAACAAGTCCCGTCCTGGATGGAATCGCGACCCCGATTTCGTGACAATGTACGGAATCATTGAACGTCACTTTGGAGGGATCTTGGATGTAGCTCTGTGATGCCTACTTCGGTGGGCCGTGCTCTAACACCCACTCGTCTCCTGTGTGGCAGCACGCAGCGGAGGAGCTGTGCGCCCTCATCGGCCAGGTGTTCCAGGTGGTGTACACCGAGTCCACCATCGACTTCCTGGAGCGTGTCATCTGCGACGTCGCCTCCACGCCAACCAAGCACTCGTCCCTGCACAGCAGCACCTTCAGTGAGAACACATGCACACGCGCAAAGACAAAGATCCCCCGTATAGCCTGCAACATACTGTTAAGGGATGTGCTGTTCGCGAGCACCTATGAAGGCCGGCGTGGCACACGAGGGGGGTGGGTGGCCAGGACCACGCCAAACCGCATTTGTTTCCCGAGTGGCAATGTTTACACATCACATCAGCTACTCATTTAAAGGCTGAGTCGACCTAGGGGAGGCCCAGAACCGATTCAGATAATCGTCACTGGTGTTGGGGCATGAGCGGGAATCGAACTCGTGTCGCCGGGGTACACACGCACGCACACATGCACGCCCGTTTGGCCATACCTCAGCACGCTAGGCCATGCCCTGTAATGCCATGGCCTGAATATCATCAACTATGCCTTAACGTGTTCAGCCATGTGATAACATTTTCCGCCCCAACTGGACATCGGTCAAAAAGAGCTTCAGATTCCTCCAGGATAAATATTCTACATTCTGATGAAATGTTGAGCCATTCCTTATGGTAGTAACCCCTATCTGGCCCAATCAAATGTGCATCTCCCCCATCTGTATGTGGTGCCCATGACCGGCCGCGCGGCAATCGGCTGTGCTGCTGAGCTCCTCTGTCTGGATTCACACAGCGGCTTTATGAAGGACGGCTCCTGCCCGCGTCATCCCCCGCGCGATCTTGCGGCCGTTTGTCTGATGTGCGCGCGTGTTCCCGCCTCTTGTGTTTTGCAGCCTACTCCAGCAAGGACGTGAAGCCGGCCGTTGACCCTGACAGCTCCCTGTGAGTTTGCTCTTTGCCTCGAAGCACAGACAGAACTTAACGTTCGCTCCTTGCTTGCCTTCGCAGTTGTCGATGTCAAGAAGGGAGAGCGATGTTCGCCAAAAGCAGATTGTTTGTTTTAATTGGTCAGTGTTGGTGCCCGCGTTGGCGTTGGTATCCTGTACAGTTAATGTCCCCTCGCAGTGGAAGCCACTGTCTGCAGAAAATTGTGCGTGTAACCATTGATTATTTCATGCAATGCATATGCAAATAATATGCTGTTTAGTTTCGCCAAGTGGAGCAAATGAGGCAAAATAAACAAGACAGAAGAGTGATCAATACATACATCTTTTTTCTGACCCCTCCCCCCCCCAAATGAGTAGTGTTGTGAGGTGTCCTTTAATAATCTGCTAACCAACAAAATATCATTGTTTAAAAAGAAGGCTTTTGTTCAGAGTAGGCTGATTAATTGCATGCAGTGAGTGAATGATTACGTTCATTGCGTGGCCATCTGTAGGGAGATGATACAATAAAAAGTCGATTGTAGAATGTTTAGGTGAAGCTATCATGGGCTATGAAAAGAAATTATCACGCTTCCTGAACTATGGTCGATTTTGATTTAAAGCTTTCGTGACTGCAATAATTCATATTCTTAGCTCTTTCGGTAAAGTCACGTTGAAGGGAAACAATAAAATAATAAAATATATATAAAACAATAAAAATTCTCACGACGTTTCGACCATAACACAAACGGTCGTCACCAGGTGTGTCGGTTTGCATTAATTTATTTTTAAACGGTGTATTTATTTATTTTAAAAACACGTCAGCGCCACGCGCAGCGATTTGGCAGTTTCTTTAGAAGGACTAGTCCATCTATGTTCTGAAAAGAGGAGGGGGGAGACGAAAAATTAATGTATGCTGTCTGAAAGCCACTGTAAGCGTGAACAATCAATTAAGACCTGAAATGGTTTATCAAATCTTTCCAATGATTGCTAAGCCAGAATCCATCTTTTCGGTTGAAATTGTCTCTGTGCTTGTATATGTGGATAGCTTCATGAACGAATCTCTCATGGTAGCCAGATGGCTTACAAAGAACCTCTGTCTTGGAAAAGTCAATGTCATGTGAGCCTACTGAATTATAACAATGATCTGCCACAGCCGAGGTGTTGGTCCTACCGTGTTTAAGGTCTGCTTTGTGTTCACGAATGCGGTCCGAGACATGGCGTTTGGTTTCTCCAATGTAACTACTACCACAGAGGCAACTTAGTTTGTAGACACCAGGGTACTTTATGTCCGGAATCACATCTTTTACAGACGGAACCAGATCACAGATTTTATGTAATGTGTTGAAACGGACCTGGATCTTGTGTTTATTCAAGATTTTGGAGATCTTTTTTGTGATCCCCGCAATGTAGGGTAAAATGATGGTTTTGAAAGGCTCCTCAAGAGGGTCCTTCTTCATGGTTTGAGTGATAGCTTTGCGAATTGTATAGTCGGAGTAACCATTAGCCTTAAGAGCTTGGTGTATGTGCTTGAGTTCACTGCCTATGTGTTCCTGGTCGGATATGCATTGGGCTCTATGATACAGAGTCTTGATGAGAGAATTCTTCAGTGATGGATGGTGGTGGGAATCCGGTTTCAGATAAGCATCCGTATGGGTAGCTTTCCTGTAGACAGAGTGGCTCATTGAACCATCAGGTCTCTTTTTTATTAGGCCATCCAAAAAAGGTAGCTTGCCATCTTTTTCGACTTCCATGGTAAATCTGATGGCTGGGTGTATGGAATTGATGTGGTTGAAGAATTGGTCTAGAACAGGCCGGCCATGTGGCCAGATGACAAAAGTGTCATCCACGTACCTCTTCCATAAGGTAGGACCAACACCTCGGCCGTGGCAGATCATTGTTATAATTGAGTAGGCTCACATGACATTGACTTTTCCAAGACAGAGGTTCTTTGTAAGCCATCTGGCTAACATGAGAGATTCGTTCATGAGGCTATCCACATATACAAGCACAGAGACAATTTCAACCGAGAAGATGGATTCTGGCTTAGCAATCATTGGAAAGATTTGATTAACCATTTCAGGTCTTAATTGATTGTTCACGCTTACAGTGGCTTTCAGACAGCATACATTAATTTTTCGTCTCCCCCCCTCCTCTTTTCAGAACATAGATGGACTAGTCCTTCTAAATAAACTGCCAAATCGCTGCGCGTGGCGCTGACGTTTTTTTATAAATAAGTAAATACACCGTTTAAAAATAAATAAATTAATGCGAACCGACGCGCCTGATGACGACCGTTTGTGTTATGGTCGAAACGTCGTGAGAATTTTTATTGTTTTATATATGTATTATTATTTATTGTTTCCCTTCAACGTGACTTTACCGAAAGAGCTAAGAATATGGTCGATTTATTTGGAATGCTGACTTATTGGCACTATTTTTCCGTACGCGCCACCTCCACAGTGCGACTGCGGAACTGCCCCACAAACGGCTTCCCACGTTGGTGCTGCCCCTCACGGCGGGTGGCTAAAGGGTGGAATAAAAAACGGCCGACAGAACTCGGTGGTGACGCGTCAAATCGAGTCGTCGATCGATTCTAATATGGACCTGTGACAGCAAACGCAGGAAGATCCTGTAAAATGGATCGCAAGGCCGCGCAGCCCACTGGTGGCCCCCTGGTGGCCCCCTGGTGGCCTTTAGTGCGGCCCCTGACGTGCGTCCCCCGACAATACACAGATGTGAAAACGCCCCCCCCCCCCCCCCCCCCCCCGCATCGTGCTGTCAAACCCCAGTGGATTCAAATGTGTGGTGGCCTTCAAGCTGATGTCTTATCGGCGAAAGTGGGGACCCCTCTTCGTGAAGAACGCTGCCATGAAATGTATTACGTGGGTTGTCAGGTTTTTTTTTCCCCCAGGCAAGCCCCCTCTAAGTTGATCAGATTGCACGGGTGGCATGAGCGATGAGCCGTGTTGTTCTCTGCCGCGCGAGCAGGGCGAGCTTCTCGCAGGACACGTGCTGCGATGCGTCGCAAGCGTCCGACAAGACGCACCGGCGCAGCCAGAGCAAGACGCTCAGCGAGAGCAACCTCAGCCTCGTCTGCAAGGACCAGCTGCAGGAGTACATGAGCACGGTGAGTGGCAACCAATTGGTACACAATTGGTACACAATTGGTTGGGGTGCCACCGCGGTGTGATGGTTAGCCCATTGGACTTTTCCATCTCTCACAGTGGCATTTGGTACAAATACAGGAAATTTCAGGGCCTGATCTTTACCTTCATTTTTTATTGGGTCGTCTGTGTGTGTGTGTTTGGGTGATGCTTTGCCGTGTGGGTTCGGGTTGAAGATACATTTAGAGTTGTTATGTGTGCGTGTTGTATTTGTGATCAATGTGTCTATTGTATGGCTGGATGGTGTTGTATACACGTGTACGTGGTGTGATGTCTTGTGTCTGTGCTGCGTCTGTTGTCCTCACACGGGAGAGCGATTGAGTTTGACTGAGTGATCGCGTGAGAGTAAGTGAACATAAATTAATGATTGTCGGTCGGGAATTGAGCACGAGCGAGCCTGAGTGAGTAATTGAGAGCGGGTGAGCGTTGGCGAGAGGCAGTGAACGTAAGTAATCAAATTAGTGTATGTGTTCGTAAGCAGTTGTTGGTATGCAAGTAAGTGCGGGCGTTCATGAGCATTTGTGGGCATTTCACTGTGTCCGTGAGTGACCGAGCGCGTGAGCATTCGGCGGGTGAATGAGCAACGCATGTTGGTAAGCAAGCGAGCGCTGATGCACAGCATTCGAGAGCTGCCAAGCATGCACGCGAGCGCGCTCCGGCGCAACCGCTCACGCGCACGCTCGCGTGTCTCGCCCGCGTTTCGCCTGCGGCGGTGCAGCTGCAGACGAAGCTGTCGTCGCTGGAGATCCAGGAGTTTGCACAGCTGCTGCACGCGTACCGCACAGGCGCCTCCATCCAGGACTTCTGCCAGAATCTGCGGCAGCTCTACGGGGAGAGCCGCAAGTTCCTGCTGCTGGGTACGGATGACAGCGGCACGCGGTGGTTCAAATCCGCAAATGACAGGAAAAAACCCATCACAGTACAAACATTGGTGCAGGCCGGGAAAGCGTGTTTGCTCCATTTATTGATGCTGACTTTAGACAGGATAGTGGAAATGCAGTTCTTCAGGAACAGGTGGTTTTGCATAATGATTAAGGATTGGGAGTTTTTTTGTGCACATGGTGCACGATTTAATATACATTTATATTGCTTGGTGAATAGGCTGTACTGCATTGATGATTTTATTTGCAAGGGTGCATCGTTTTGTTTGTTGTTCAACTCGCGACACCTGAGAACCCGATTTAATCATGGGCTGTTGAATCTTAAAATTCGATCCAAGGATGTCAGAACGATTACAGGATCTAGTGCTCTTTGCCCAGAGTCAACCAAACATCTGAGCCTCTTGTTATTAAGTATTACGTCGAGGTGGCCAGGTGGCTCAACAATCAAGCTGACACATTTACAATGCTGGATTCAATTACAGCAGCTTCCACTGATTACCATCTGAGTTCTCCAGTGCGGTGAGTTGAATCTCAGCGTGGTCACCAAATTTGCTAAATTCCAGCTCTGAGAATTCCCAATGTTGGTTCGACCGTCATGCGTTGAACATTTCTTTAGGTGCCAGAGGGCACTTGGAGGGATCCAAAAAAGTAGTTCTTGGATATCCATCCACCTCCATGGACGATTTTATAACGCGCAGGGTTGCACTGTTCTGCGCAAGTTCCAAATGGATCTTCATCCCTTGACGCACCGTCGATATACCCAAACAAGCAAGCGGCTACATCACGCTTAAAGCTGCATGCTTCCTTGCGTGTCCCCGTCCCCGCAGGCATGCGGGACTTCATCCCAGAGAAGGACAGCCACCACTTTGAGAGCTTCCTGGAGACGATCAGCATCAAGGACGGCCGCGGCATCATCACTGACAGCTTCGGGCGCTGCAAGCGCACGTCCGCCGGCGGCCCGGCGCTGCCGCGCAACGGCGCGGACGACAGCACGGAGGGCGCGCCGTTCCAGGACCCCAACGAGTTTGACCGCATAATGTCGCGCATCAGCAGCGAGCTGGAGGCGCTCGGGTGCAGTGCCGACCCGGAGCCGTCATGACGGCGCGCGTCAGCCACGCCGGAGGACACGCCTACAGACTCGCAGGGCGATTGCTCCCCCCCCCTCCTCACCCATTCGTAGCCACCCCTCCCCCGCTGCCGCCTGATCGCTCGTTAACTCGCCCATTAGCTCGCTCGCACGCTCCGTATTTTCACGGACGAGTAGAGGAGAAGCGGTTCGGCGAGCCGAGCGACAAGCGGCGACATTTGGAGACCTTAAACGGAAGGAACAGTGCAACGTGCAACCTGGTGCTCGTCTGCGTGAACTTTCACCTTGGCGTTTGAAGAATGAAATGTCTAAAAACGGAAGGAAATTTTAATTGACGCGCAAAATCAAATGGGACCGAGACGGCAACTTTTTGACGGACGTGGGGCGGAGAGAACGGTGATTTTGATCACTTTATTTTCGCAGTAATTTTCTAAAAATGTGTGTGGACATCTTATTTTGTGTTAATGTCATTTCATTGCTGGCCGTGTCAGCCAAATTGCTATCCATAAGTGTACTTTGCCTGTTTTTGCGAGAGCCTTTCCACTCGTGCCTGGCTTAGTGCCCTCGTGTGGTGCGTCACTTTGACGCGCGTTACAAAGTTTACATGGGACCCCCTCCTCGCCAATCCGCTGCCAAGAGGACGGTAGTCCTTACAAACTGCACCTACGTCCTCGCTTGCCTCCTGCAGTCAGAGGTGTCGCAGATAACGTCCTGGTCACGCGTCGCGATTTCTACTAAAGGATCCGCGAGATCCTCCACACCCGGCAGCCAAAGTGTCTTGATAAGCTTCCGAGAAGCGCCGTTCAATCGCAGAGCAAACTTCCCACTTTGTAGCTTCGTGTCATGTTGGATATAACGGCAGAGTCATTGCTCATTGGCCGTTGACGAGTGCACGCCCAGCGTGACGTTCCACGTCATCATTGCACGGTGCGACACGGCAACGGTCTTGCCGAAAATTTGCGCTGTGAATGTCGTTACACGTGGGCTGGGCCTTGGAGCCAAGCTGTGGAGCAAGAGTTTGAAACTTTCTTTCGTTTGATCTTTTAGCCTTCCCTCCCGCTGCGTTGAAGTAACTTTATTATTCTGACCCATCGCTTAGCAAGCGATGGTGCCATTAAATCGTGAAGTGCGCGAAGCGTATGCATCTTTTATTTATAAACCCACGTAGCTTATTGAGTTAAACACTACATTATATATTTTATTGTGTCCTTTTTATATGCCGTGTATTCTAAGTAAGTGCTTTGTTTGGTCAAACGGCCCTTGCAGACTCCTGGCAGGTTTTACATTTTCACACTTTCCTTCAATGCCTATCCATGACAATAATGTATTTTTTGTGACTATATTTTTAAACGTTTCGTTTGAAGCGTGCGTCATCTGTTTTTTTTACAGCATGTAACAATTCTCACCCCCCTGTGATTCTATGAATTGTCATGATTCGGGGTTCACGATTCGACTCAACGATGGGGTCCTCGTCGTGTCGTTTGTAATTTTTGTTTGTAGTTTCTCAGTTCCGCATAATTCATTAGCCATGAGCTTAAATGTATAATTTTGCGTGTACTTTCATGAATTGTAAATGACCGATATTTCCACGCAGGGTTCAATTTTCGCAATCGAGAGCATAGAAATTAATTTTAATAATCGAAATGAAGGATTGTTACATGCTTACTATATATTTTTATCGTACCTTATTTCATTCCATCATCTTAGCCCCTTCCCCCTACCCCGTAAATCTGGGACCTTGCCGTGGGTCTGGGAGAGCCGCTGTACAAGGTGGTGTGTGCCTCTGTTTTTCAGCGACGGATCCAAGAGATGGAGTTTACTGAATCAAAAAAATAAGATAAAAAAACCCCGACATAAAGATGCATATGGCCCACCTGCACCGCCCACAGTGGGTTACGTGCACATGCTGGACATGAGTTGTGGACTAAACCATTTTTATGGAGGGATGGCGTGCATTCTAGGGGTTTAGGAAATCTCTACCCCACCCCATCTCTGGATCCGGTGCTGGCTCATTTGCCGTGTGTTTTGATGACCGCTCTTGCGTAGGGGACCCCGGTCGGGTCCGTCTGTGCCATCCGAACTGAAGTGCGAAAACCCTAAACCACAGAGTGGTTTTGTTACTTAAAAAAAAACAAAACACCGTGTAGTGGCTACCTCTGTACATTTACTGTAAAGTTTATTTTTTTGCGTTTGTCGTATTTTATTTTTAAAATATCGGAAGAAGCTACCTGTGCGGTAACTTGACAATGTACCAAGCCACACTATTACCTTGTAACCAGCACGTGTTTGTTGTGTGTCAAAAAGGTCCTTTGCTTCAGAGACCCTCAACCTCGCTATGTCCCTACTGTGAATACTCTGGTATCAGGGGATTCGTGCCCAGAGGATTAAAGAGGCGTACGCACATAGCGATCTGCTTTTGAGTGAGCTGACGTGGATATCCTAGCGAAATCACGGCAGGCAATATCGTGACTCGGTTGTGTCGGTCCCAGAATCTCAATGAAACGACGTATTGATGCGACATCTGCACTGGTCACATCCCAAGCAAATTCCAGGTAGGAACGGGCACCTGAATTTGACTCGAGCCCGATCTTAATCATCGAGTTAGGTTGATTGATTGAATCGCAAAAAAATATGAAGTCCCGGCTAATGCCATTGATGCCACCATCACATCCCTCCTTTTGCCAAGACCACGACTGTTGTGAATTTGACACTTGGCCTCCAAGAGCTGCTCTAACGGTCTAATCACCAGCATCTGGCTTTAGGTCTTCGCCTTGGTCACTGACCTCTGGGCTCCACTCAAATGGTGCAACCTGGCCATCTGCGCCCTGCACACGCGTCCCGACGATCACATGTACAACACTTCCGTGCCTCGTTCTATTCCAAACTTGCAAGTTGCTGACCCTCTTCTGCCTTGGATTTCTTAGCACCCTTTGCAAGCGGCCATACTCTCTCACGCCAAGTCACACCTGCGTGACTCGGAAATGTTGACGCAAAAGTCATGCATATACCGCAAGTATCAAATTTTGAGCAACTAATCATCCGTACCAACTGGACAATGGAAAAAGCAAGACCTTCCGTGGACTTAGCAATAGCACAAACTCAGAAATTAGAAACGTAGCCACCTTTTTCATGAGCTTCGCTGCATACGAGCAAATACATTAGCCAGTAGTCATAGGTTTTACCCTTTTAACTGGCACGAAAAACTGACACCTTTATTCAAGGCATCATGTCTGCAATAACCACAACACAAGCAGTCAAAATTGCAAACAAAAAGACAACTCTGATAATAATATGCACTGTCTTTGAATTTGATTGGTCCACACCCGAGACGGCTTTCTTTAGAGCCTAGTCTCCCCTGGTGTTGGACCAAAAGATGCCAAAAGGCGTAGGGAGGTCTCATACATTAGCCAGTGTTAGCGATCGTAAGTGTAATTTTTTACATTTGTTTACACGAAACTGCCAACCTAGTTTCTTAATGTTTAAATTGGAATTGGTTGACAAAGTCGAGGCTTCATGCGAACTTGCTCCATGTGTATGCACGCTCACGTAGCAGCTTCTGCCCGCCCTTTCACATTCCCTTTTGACGCCAATTTCATATGCAGCGCGATGGCATTTGTGTATTCTTTACCTGCCTATCTACCTACAGTACATTGTGAATTATCATTACATTGCAGCTGGTGCTTACAGCTTGAGTTGCGTTCACGACTGTGTGCTGTTTATTTGGTGCTGAAATGAATTAACCTACACACGTAGCTTCTCGCAAGCCAATATTATGGGTCATAATTATAATGTGGCTTAGGCCACGTAATGATCCGAGCTAAATTTGGGTTGCTGAGACCCTCGACCACCCAGCATAGCCAAACATTCAGAATCAAAAGTTTATTTACTGAGTAAAGCCCATTGAGCTAAGAAGCCCTATGACATCTGCCGACTCGGCCGGCAGACGTCAGAATTCCACAAATTGTCACGTGTGTACAAGAGTTTAGCGTGCCAACTTTTATCGGCTCAGCTCAGCGAACGATTCTCTTATTGCATATTGTATTGTTAAATTGTTCTTAAACCTACCGGTGAGCTGGCATGATACTGTTAATAATCATAATCGGTGCCCTAAATACTTGCACACGTGGCAATTCCATTTGTTTTGACTTTATTGCATGGTAGAGGTTCAAAATAACACACTTTGTCAGGTCATTACATGGCCTAACTCAAAACATAATTTTGAAATAAACGTTTGCTATGTGTTAGCATCGGGAGTTGAACCTGTATGAGAGACTCCATGACCTGGTTGCTGCTGCTCATCATCATCGCTGCTTTCCCTTTGAGAACTTTGTTAGACCGTCAGACGCAGCAAAACCTACCCTTTGTTCACAGCAGGCAACCTTTAAGAGCACAGACCCATGAGTTGGGTGAGAGTTCATCATCGTCTTGCCAAGAGACACCGAGCTGGCACCGATGAGATTCTAGGTTCAGGCGGGTATGTGCCTGTCATTCTCAACGCGTTCATAATAGCCGTGCCATTGGCCACGATCGTTATGTGAATGGAGCCCGGTTTATAATGGACGTGTCATTATGAATCGGGCTCCAGTAACTAGGCATTAAACGAGGTTCACTGTCTACTTACGAGTCCCTTCACAATGCCTCCCCCTCCCTCCCCACATTCAGGTATATTTAAACTCTGACGGCAACATTTTGGCCTGTCACGTGATGAACTATCATGCAAATATGACGTCATGTGTTGGGCGAGAGACCGATTTGAAGCGACATTCAGAAGTAGTTGTGGTCCCGTGGTGTCATCTTCTGGAGCCTTTCTTGGCACTGACGTTACGCTGCTCACTTCGAGAGTTTCGGATAAATATGCCCTGAAAGCACAATTGGATGCAGAACAATTGCATAGTCCTGGCATATATCTTGCCCTCGTGTGGATCAGAATGTGAAGAAAAAAAAACACAGACATGAGTTGGCAGGGACTCCCGTGACTTGTTGCATAAAACACTTTCAGTGAAAATAAAACTTGTTTTTGGATAGGAAACTAATGGTATTCATTTTTCACTTCAGTGGCTTAAGAGAAAAGCTGCTTATAAGCACAGGCTGCAACCACCATATGTGTGCGTGCCTACATACGTGCCGTGATTGCCTAAGCGCTGAGTGCTTGAGGTACGATTCGATGTGGGATATGTATGGGTCGTCAATACCATGAGTAGAGATGGCTTTTTTTTTTAAGGTGAATGCCCACCGAGACCAGAAGTATCTCTCTTCCGTGAGGTATTATTGGTGGACGGATTCGGGAGGCCTTCGTCAAGCGGTGGATAGATCATGGCTGACGATGAAGAGCCCGTTGGGAGCACACATGCATCGCTTTCGAGGGGATAGACGCGGGTCAAAGGAAATACACCACAGAGAGAGAGAGGGGGGAAAAATAATAGCTATCGGGAAACAAAAATGATGGGGAGAGCCCCGTGGGATAAATAACTACACACGAATAACACACCAACATCAACCTGCTCGTGTATTCATTATTTCTTAGTTTCCTATAATTTCACAGCTCTTCTATATAAACCATAGCCGCCCACCGCAGTGGATGATGCACGCTCGGCCTTAGAGATAATACAGGTGGTAAAGGGCGGTGGGGGGGGGACCACAACTTGGACATTAAAACACTACAAAAATTAAGCAATTTAAAGGAGGTAGAACATACATACTGCAATTACATTCGCAAATGAATGGTACTGCAATGTTAAAAGCGTGCGCTCGGATATCCTCCCGAATAGTGAAGTCAATGGGGGCCGATTTGTGGGAAGAATCTGTCCTCCCCCTCCCCGTCTGTGACAGGTGAACAATGTGGGCCACATGTCTCGCCTGAATAAAAGGGGACTATTTAAAGTGTCCACGGGCTCTCGTGTGCATTGTCAATCCACTGCTTGACGAGGGACTTCCCACGCCGTGCGGGTCGGGGGTTTATCTGGCCAGTGCGGGCTGGTGAATGCGGGGAGCATAGAGACGTTCCAGCGTGGTACATAGTACAGTACAACTGACTTTGCTGCACGGCCCCCCCCCGCTCTGACAACCAATCTCCCTAATGGTGACCATGGTGACGATGTCAGTGATGATGATGAATGGGCTTTGGCTTGGCTTTAAACAAATTATCCTTAACACATCACCCTTGCGAAGTGTCACCATAAGATGGTGGTGATGCAGACCTGGGTATGGTTTCGCCAAAGAAATCGGAAGAAAGCGAGAAATTCCCTCGACACGTAAATTGAGCCCCCCTTTTTAAAAATCTTGGCATCGATCACAAAGAGGAGCCAGCAACGCGTTACCTTAAATAGCCAAGCGTGGCTTCACTGTCGTTTAAAACCCCAAACATTGCGCTCTCTGCTCAAGCGGCCTGCTGTAGAGAGACTCCGTTCTTTCGTACGCTAATAACGCATACCTGCCAACCCATATAGATTTACCCGCATTCTTGTGCAGGTAAAATTAGTTTTCAGGTGCATACGGCGTGCAGCCGTTTCAATACGGGCAAAAATAAAATGTTTGTCTATTTGTTTGTGTTCTCCCTTGTGATGGGGTCTTTGTAGAATGAACGTTGCTATTTATAAGGGCACGGGGTGACCAATAAAATCTGAATTGGTCTGTAATAAGGTAGGGCACTGATTAGGGGGTTCACAGGTATTATAAAGTCTACAAGCAACGTTACTGCGACGTCCATTGGACAGCTCACGATTGTAGTCGAAACAACATCAACTCAGTGAAGAAGTCGTCGGAACAGTGTTGTTTAATGACTGCACCTAGAAAATTAGTTCTATAGGAATTGCATGCAATCAGAATCCGAATATTTATTCATACTGGAGGAATCCGATGAGCTATACGACTCGTTTTCACAGATGTTCGGGAGGGGCAGGTCACAAAGTAACTACACCAAAGAATACAAAAATACGATAGGCTGGTGTTAAGCAACTTAACACGTAGAATTATAATGGGGACATGAAGTCAGGCAATTCGGAAGAGGAGGCTGTCATGGATCTGGCACGTATGGCGGATGGGTTAAGCAACGATGTAGGGAATAGAACGTGGCAGGCAATGCGTTGTGGATGCAATCTATGAGAGAGGATGTTGCTATGGCTGGACCGCGTGTGTGGGATGGAGAAGGGAACGTTACGGAGACGGGCATTGGAGTAGCACCCCGAGGTCGGTGACCGAGGGGGACGACACGAAGGCAAGAAGGTAGCCGTGATGAGTGGTTCTTGAAGGATGTGTCATCTGTTTAACAAGGGGGAATCCTTGAGATGGCAAGAGATGGCAACAACGACCTCGGAGATCAGGTGTCTGCAACATTCATTGTACGAAAGATGACATCAGTGTAGACTTGTCCTATAACTTGCCACGCCAGTGCGAGGCAAGCCAGATTCTGGGAAGAAAGTCGCCTTTGTGCAGATACTACAGGCGATGTCACGCAGCAGGCAGGCCATCGTTGTTAGCAGACGCGTGACATCGCACCCTCGCGAGGTCGTGGCATCGTTGACATGGGTTGTGATGACATTCGATCAATGGCGAAAGGTCATTCCAACAACACCTGTAGTCCAGCCACTGGGAAGGTTGCGTTGATGGATCACGCCAAGATCAAATGTCACGTGCTTGACGCACCGACTTGTAATGCTACCAGGTAATGCTGTAGATCATTGTTTTTCACTAATTGGCAGAGGGGGGGCGCTTTCGCCGATAAGACATCAGGGTGAGGGGCCGCCACACATTTGAAACCATTGGGGTTGATAGCATGATGGGGTGTGTTCACATGTGTATTGTCGTGGGTCACACGTCAGGTCGCCGCACTAAAGGCCACCAGGGACCGCCAGTGGCCCGCGGGCCTGTCTGTACAGGTTTAACTTATATTCTTGGTTCTTTCGGTAAAGTCACGTTGAAGGGAAACAATAAATAAAATATATAAAACAATACAATTCTCACGACGTTTCGACTGCTTGTGTTGCCACGAGGTCCCTCACAGGGGCCCCTCTTATAATCCCAGCGTGGCCTCGCTCCGCCCCAGCCACGCCCCCTCTCTGGAACCTACTAGCGGGTTCCCGAGGCTTCCCGATGGGCCCCCCCTCTGCGACCTTTCTCCTAGATGTCCCCTTCTAGTGTCTATCATGGCCTGCTTACTTCAATACGGCCATACACCACAGTTCCTCTTTTTCGCCAGCAGCCAGCACTATGCCACTACACATACATTAGCTCGAGTGCACCCACACACTTTTAATATTTCGGAAGCTAAACAGCATTAAGCCTGGAATAGTGCTTGGGTGGTCGACCATTGTGCATAACAAGTGCTATATGCTGTGGGGCTACGGCGTGGGCAGCGGAGGGCAGTGCAGTACTGTACTCCTATGCTCTCAGCCTTCATCAACCCACACTGACCCGGGTCCAGCATGGTCAAATTACCCCCCCCCCCCCCCCACGATCAACAGCAATTGAACTGCGTTGCCACAGACCGGAATGAAATTACATATATTAACACGCATGAATTTGCATGTTATGGGATAACGTTTTTTTGAACGTGTAACCATGTAATTCAAATCCAGCCAATCCACACACAAACCTCTGTAACCGAATGACCAGGACCACGTGTTCGCACTCGATTCACGCGCCACGTGCATCTACAGGTCACGTGGGACCCCCCCCCCCCCCCCAATCTTGGCTTCCTGGTTTGAGGAGCCTAAGCGGGTGGAGGGGGCGGGGGGTGAGCGGGGCGGACCTCATCGCCACGCGATTGGCTGAGCCAACTTGCTCGTCACGTGGTGCGCTCGTGACCAATCTTTGGCGGGAACGTTGGTCTACGCGCACTGGGAAATGTAAAGCGCTGGCTCGATTCACCTTAACAGAATCGATATCTACGATTCCGATTGCAATTGAGAAATCAATGACCGCGTTGTCTTGCCCGTCCGTCACTGTCAAGTTTGCTCGATTAATTATGCCCAAGCATATAATTTGCGCGGAAATGTAAGCTCGAGAATCGAAACCTCCCCCGACCCTCACAATCGTTTTTTTTATGAGACTCGACGAATCGAACGTTATAGCCACGTTAACGATACGCCGGATCGTAATCGATACGCGGCTCCTGCGACAGTAGAGCGCGAGGTGAGGTTACCCCCAGTTGTTGCCTGGCAACCGCCGTTACCGCCGAGTTGTATTCTCACCGATTTAATGTCGCCCGTGTTGTTTGCTGTTGCTGCTGTTGCTGCTGCTGCGGTTAAATGCCGCGGCAGCTGCCGTACACCGCGCACGTGCGCAGATAGGCCACTGTAGGCCACGCGGTGGGACACGTGCACTGTCACGCACGTTGAACTTCTTTCGCGCCGTACGTATAGCCAACCGCGCCGATCGAAGGCGTGCCATTGAAAATGTACAAAAACTTTTGCGTTTATTTTCGTACGTATGGGCCTGCCTTTTTTTTGTTCTTTCACGTGGAAGGCGTTTCCACGAGCTCAAGACAACATCGCAAGTGGGATTATTAAAGCAGCGAAGTTAATGGGACGACGCCGTATTATTATCTGGGTTTATAATGCGCTCCGGAAATTAAGACGCACCACAGTTGCAAGGCAAGGACAACGAAACTAAACGCAGACGCGCACACACACACACAACAAAAAGCAGTTCAAATAGTGAATTTCCATTCGAGGTGATTTAAATATGCCGCGTATACACGGCTCCCAGTGCCTTCCAAATAATCGTAAGGAAGAGCGTTCCAGACGGCCGCGGGGAGCAGTGTCTGAAGAAAGCGCGGCCTTTTTGCGTTGACCGTCGCCTCTCCATCTCTCTCTTGTGTTTATTTTTGTGTTATTTTTATTTACGCTTCAACATTGACAAGCTGATCCTAGATTTGAAGCTTTCGTGACTGCAATGATTCATACTCTTTGGTTCTATTCGGTAAAGTCACGTAGGTAAAACAAATTAAAATAAAATGAAAGAAACAATTAAAACACGACGTTTCGGAGGCTAAAGCAAGCTTCCGTCTTCAGGTAGGACCAGTCACTTGGTGCAGCGATTTTGCTGTGACTGGTCCCACCTGAAGACGGAAGCATGCTTTGCCCTCCGAAACGTCGTGTTTTAATTGTTTCTTTCATTTTATTTCAATTTATTTTAATTTGTTTTACCTACGTGACTTTACCGAATAGAACCAAAGAGTATTGACAAGCTGCGTTAACCATCAAAACACAATTCAACTCGCACATTCTTATTACGACGATGAAACTGTCAGCGAATTGGCATACAAAATTATCCACGTCAAAATAACAAGTACATTATTTTGATTTAAAGCTTTCGTGACTGCAGTAATTAATATTCTTAGCTCTTTCGGTAAAGTCACGTTGAAGGGAAACAATAAAATAATAAAATATTTATGAAACAATAAAAATTATCACGACGTTTCGACCATAACGCAAACAAAACAAAAAAACGCAAACGTTTGCGTTATGGTCGAAACGTCGTGAGAATTTTAATTGTTTTATATATATTTTATTGTTTCCCTTCAACGTGACTTTACCGAAAGAGCTAAGAATATGAAGTACATTATTATTATTATTATTTGTATCGGTGGCAGTCGGTGGGACAACGCCGCTGTTTGTGTTGTCGCTGTTATTTGACGAGAGCACGTTGACGCACACAATGTAAAAATAACAAACGTGATCAAAACGTTCGCTCCCGCTCCGACCCGAGCTGAGCGCGCTGCAACGTGAGCCCTCCCTCCTTCCTTCCCTCCTTCCCTCCCTCCTTCCCTTTTTGTTTTGACTTCTTAAGCAAACTTTATTACCTCGGCCGCAAACAATGCGCCGGGGGCGATTTCCAGTGTTGGGTCGTGCGTGAATCACAGGACGTTCTGATGGCTGAGCCTGAA